CACTGAATTGGTCCTGCTGATCCGCACTGTCAGTGGCCCCTTTCAAACAGGGTGACACAGCTTGTCCAGTGGTGAACTCACTTACGGACGGGAGGTGATAGACCGGTGGTTACTGTTTATGTATTTGCTCTGCTGTATTTGTTAGTCACGCTGTGAGTAATGTCCCTTTTCCCCCTCAGGTTCTCCGAGGCACTGTGACCGACTTCCCCGGCTTTGACGAGCGGGCTGATGCTGAAACTCTTCGGAAGGCCATGAAGGGCCTGGGTAATGCAGCCTCCTTTGTGTTCTAAAAAAAATGGGACAGTTGTTTTTCCAAACAGAAAGTCATTGATTCACAGTAAGATTAATTTTAGAATATTTTAATCTGTAGAGAAAGAGAAAGGTACATTGAGATAAAATAATATGGCTGGCCACCCACGGTGTTCAGTGTCTGGAACTGAGCAGCCGCGGGTTTGGCAGCCGTCAGCTTTACCTGTGGCAGGTGACAGGCTAGAGAAGTGGGCTTTCCTGAGAGCCGGCCCTCTGCAGCTCCTCACTGTCTATGCCCAGGCCATACCCATGTCATACCTCTTACATCATGTGCCCGTCTCCTCTGTCCCAGCCTCCTTTCCAGCCACCTAGAAACCTCTGTTCCCGAAGACCTCCGCATGTCCTGTTCCCTGACCCCAGGCCCCTGTACCAGGTGTCCTGACCCCAGGCCCCTGCACCGGGTGTTCCTGACCCCAGGCCCCTGCACCGGGTGTCCTGACCCCATGCCCCCTGCACCAGGTGTCCTGACCCCAGGCCCTTGCACCAGGTGTTTCCCATCAGAGCCCATGTGTGGGACCCACCTTTCCCAGACGTGGCTGCCCCTCCTGGGAGGGTTCCCAGTGGAGCAGGGTCAGCGGCGGGCTTCTGGCCTGGTGAGGCCTCCCTGGTATCCCAGCCCATCCTGTCCCACTCCTCCCACGCCCCGGCCTCTGAGCAGCCATGCTCTGTTATCTGCTATTCGCCAAAGTCCCGTGTTTTCCTCCCGCTGAACTTTTCTCTCATTCTAATAAAAGCCTGTCCTTCCTCACTGTCCTTAAGACTGTTTGGATGCCACCTTCTCTGTGAAGCTTTCCCCAAACCCCCTTCCACCTCCTGTCACCAGAGAACCTCCTCTGAACCCACTTAACATGGACCTCCCCTGGGCACCTAGGCCCTTGTCACATTCTGCCGTTTGTGTGTTTCTGTATTTTTTTTACCCTAATTGTCTGTCACTTGAAACCAGGGTCTACATCTTTGTTCTCTCTCAGTCTCCTGTGAAGCCCAATGCTTTGTGCCTTTTGAATGGCCATTGTTTGAGCAAATGTCTGCTGCGAGGAAACCTGCTGCACTAAGGTTTTAAAAAGTGGAGTGTTTTCCCACCTGCTTGCCAGAGCAGCAGGAAAGGGGTAGAATCTATTGGCAGTAGAACAGGGGATATGTTGTAAATTTTCTAGTTTAATCAGTTGCATAGTACGACGTGTTTTATGAGGTAAGGAGTTGAGGGCACTGGTTACAGAGGTGGGGAGAGTGGGCGTGTGGGCCCAGATGTGAGTGGCGAACCTCCATCGCAGGCACCGACGAGGAGAGCATCCTGACCCTGCTGACATCCCGGAGTAATGCTCAGCGCCAGGAAATTGTGGCCGCCTTCAAAACGCTGTTTGGCCGGGTAAGACTGCACCCCATCCCATGGTAGACTGCGGGCAGCTGCCTGTTTTCAGACGAGTTTGAAATCTGCTGATATCCTTTGGCAAACATCATGTATTCAATGGCTCTGACTTTCCTACCCGCCCCCCGCCCCCATTGCTTAAATAGCAGCGCTCCGTATACAGTGCTCACCCGCTTGTCCTCACGTGATTGCCTGTCCTTGAGTGAGGCGGCCGAGGGGCTGAGATGGACGGCCCACCGATTACTGCCCCTGTTCTGCGCCTCCCTCCAGGGTGGCTCCAGCGTCCGTTTCCTAGCTGTGGGCCCGGATCACAATGCATTTTGTTGTGATACAGTCTTGGTTCCTTTAGGAGTGGTACTTTTTCTCTTTTTAAAGAATAGTTTATTGGTTTTTTGGAGAGAGAGGAAGGGAGAGGGAGGGAGAGAGAGCAGGATCAAGCCCACAACCTGGGCATGTGCCCTGAGCCCTGACTGGGAGTCGAACCAGCAACCTTTCTGTGCACAGGATGGTGCCTGAGCCACAGCAGCCAGGAGAGTGGTATTTTAATAGATGAGTTTTTAATTCATTGATTTCAGTGCTCTTATTTGATTAACAATTCAAACTAAAAATTAAATTTGTTACAAAATGAATGAGTGCCTACGTGAAAAACTTAGATGTCATTTTATTATTCTGAAAATTTTCATTCACCCTTTGGTTCAGAAACAGATGCAGAGCAAAACAAAGCAGATGCTTTAAACCCAGCTTCTCGTTGTCGGGGGGTG